AAAAAAATGGAGTTGCTTTCCTGATTTTAGCCACGCTTTTTTCATTGTTGGCATACAGAGGGTTAATTTTATACCCTACTTTGCGAAAGTTTTTAATCAGCTTGAGTAATTTGGAAGCAGAGTCCGTGGGATTCTTTAAATACAAGATCATGTCATCTGCAAAGAGGGAGAGTTTTACTTCATCTTTTTCTATCTGGATCCCCTTTATGTTTGCATCTTGTCTTATTACTGTAGCTAGGCATTCTAACACTAAATTGAACAGAATTGGAGAGAGTGTACATCCTTGTCTCGTTCCTGAGTTAGAGGAAATGGCTTTAGTCTAAAAGAGAGAATTTATAACCAAAATATCACCATACATTTTGCAAATGAAAATAAAACAGAAAACTAGTAGAATATAGAAAATACAAAGCAAAACAAAATCAATACATATAATGCCACTTTTCAACACTTTTGTATTAATTTTAAATGCAAAAATATATGATTTTTTTGTTTTGGGGTTTTTTTTGGTGGTAGTGGGGCTTGAAGTCTGGGCCTGGGCTCTGTCCCTGCACTCTTCAGCTCAAGGCTAGCACTCTACCACTTGAGCCACAGCACCACTTCTGGATTTTTCTGTTTATATGGTACTGAGGAATCGAACCCAGGGCCTCATACATGCAAGGCAAGCACTCTACCACTGAGCCACCTTCCCAGCCCATTAGGTTAATATTTTTATGTTTGTTGGGTTACCATGTGGAATAGCTTCCTGGATAGGTTTAAATATAACGACGGGAGCAGTTTCGGCTTGTTCTTGGTGTTTTTCTACAACTCTAGAAAGTAGGCAAAATAAAATTTGGTATACTTGGCATATATGCCAATTTTACAAAAAATATATTGTTCCATAACAAAAACATGTTTGTAAAAAAAATACATGACATTAAATAATATATTCTACTGTATGTGGGTGACATGTTCGATAGCATAAAGAAAACTAGTCTATAGTATGGCTCCGCTGAAATGAAGCAAATAGAACTGTGTTTCTCATTAAATGGACAGCATTAATGTCTTATTATTTTTATTAAATTTATATTGGCCTATGTAAATTATGGTGTATTTAGGAAGGAGAAAATGACCTAATATTAAAAGTGTAATGAATTAATCTATTGTAATGTTTCCTTTTCTTTGCAAATGATTAGTCAGGTATGTCTTACTAAAAAGTCCAACAGGGAAAATTACAAACCTGCCTATTTAATTTGACTCTATTCCATACAAAATTCACAAAATCGGGCTGGGAAGGTGGCTCAGTGATAGAGCGCTTGCCTTGCATGCATGAGGCCCTGGGTTCTATTCCTCAGCACCACATAAGCAAAAAAAAAAAAAAAAGCTGGAAGTGGTGCTGTGGCTCAAGTGGTTGAGCGCTAGCCTTGAGCTGAAGAGCTGAGGGACAACGCCCAGGTCCAGAGTTCAGGCCCCATGACTGGACCCAAAAAAAAAAAAAAGATTCAAACCCTGCCCAGGCTGACATTAAAAAAAAAAAATCACAAAATCTATTAGGGAATGAAGCTGGTATCTGCATGGTATGTATTTGGCTTATTCTTCTCTGTCACTTTTTTGCCACTGCTGAAATTTAATGTTGGCTCTTAGAAATCATTAAAAAAAAAAAAAAGTCTGAGAACTGTCACAAGAAGTGTCTGACTTCATTCCCATCATATGGGTCTTTTGCATTTATGTCTTTTTACTTCTAGTAAGTGGCTGAAAGATGACTGATATAAAAACATTTCAAAGGTTGAAACTGATGTTGCCCACAAGAAGGCTGTGGCCATCCAGCAGAGTCAGTGGGAGAATGAACAGCAAGTGGGTTTCTAACTCCTTGATTGAGTGTGCAAATCCTTGTACACAAGGTCTCCATTTGGGATGCGGTTGAGTAATTCTCCCCACCCATTTCCAAGCAGGCAGCAGCAAAGGACTTGTTCATATATTCTGATTACTTTCATTTAGTTCCTTTATCTGCCTAAATCAAATGTACTTAAGCTACTAGAGAGCATTCATATAAAGAAATAATTATGTGTTTTCTAGAGAAAGGAATTTGAAACTACATGAAACTGGAAGTTTCCCAATGGAGCATTTAAACCACTTTTTTTGGCGGGGCGGGGGTCTGGTGATGGGGCCTGAACTCTGGGCCTGGGCACTGTCCCTCAGCTCCTCAGCTCAAGGCTAGCGCTCTACCACTTGAGCCACAGTGCCACTTCCGGCTTTTTTCTTTTTGCTTATGTGGGGCTAAGGAATCGAACCCAGGGCCTCATACATGCAAGGCAAGTGCTCTACACTGAGCCACCTTCCCAGCCCTTAAGCCACTTTTGAATAACACAAATACTGTTTGCATTTCAAAGTTCTTCCATTTTTCTAGATCAACTTGCATTAACACGTTGAATTCTTCCTTTAAATTACACCAGGAAAAGTATGATTTCAGCAAGTAAGCTCCCTCTGCTCTCAATCCTGAGCCCAAGAGACAGCCAGAATCCCAAGGGAGTGTGGGCAAAGGTAGTAGTAGGCCCAGAGTTCCTGTGGCCTCACTTGGGGAGCGTCAACTGCAAACCTGCTCTGACCCATGCTGTGCATATGGTAGAGCATAAAGAACCTCACTAACACTAATTTGGCCTGCACATTATTTCAAAACATTGTGTGTGTGTGTGTGTGCGTGCGCGTGCGCATGTGAGCACACACACACACACACACACACACACACACACGGGCTGATCCTGGGATTTGAACTCAGGGTCTGGGCACTGTCCCTGAGGTATTTTGCTTGAGGCTGGTACTCTACCACTTGAGCCATAACTCCTCTTTTGGCTTTTTTGGTAAATAACTGGGAAAAAGGTCTCAAGGACTTTCCTCCCCAGGCTGGCTTCGAATGATGATTCTCAGCATCTCAGTTTTTCAAGTAGCTAGGATTACAGATGTGAGCCACCAATGCCAAGCCTCAAGCATATTTGAATATGCTTAGAATTATGGTTACTATTTGAACCTTCACAGTGATCCTTTAGCATTAGGAAAATTATTGACACAAGTTGGGAATCACAGGGAAACTTCTTTAAATGTGTAGAGATAATAGGCACAGAAGTGCCAAGTAAATGAATGTCAGGGCAATGTAAATGAACAACAGGAGCCCCTGGTGCCGGAATTTACAGTGCACAGCAGATTCTGCATGAGGGGATTCCAGCACAGGAGGGGATAATGTGCGACCACTCATATATTCCCTTTGTCACTCCTCTCTCCAGATCCAACTGCTAATACCCATGTAGATTTTCTTGGGTTGCAAAACAGAGCCAGAATCCAGGGGCTATAATCCTAGCTACTGGGAGGCAAAGATCTGAGGATGGCAGCAGAATCATGAGATCAATCCAGGCAGGAAAGTCCAGAGACTTTAGTTAACCACAAAAAAGATGGAAGTGAAGCTGTGATTCAAGTGGTAGAGCACTCACCTTGTGCAAAAATAGCTAAGGGACAGCACCCAGGCTGTAAGTTCAAGGCCCAAGACCTGCACTCATGCACAAATGTACACATGTGCGCATGCAGGGGCACACGCACGTGCACACACACAGCCCTAGCACATTCATTTTAAAGGGTAATTGTGGGACTAAACTCATCACCAGTTCTTCTAACTCCTATACCTTGACGACCACATCTTATTTATCCTCTCCAGTCTGTTCTCTCATTCTCTTATTTCCTCATTTTATGATGAAATCCAGTTACAGCTTAAATAACATAAGTAAAATGTTAAGCAGAATGCTGGCATAAAATGAGTGCTCATTAAATGGCAGTGATTTTTCTGTTATTGAAACTACAAAGCAGCCATGCTGATGGCTTTGGCTGAAAATAAGTATGTGAAGAGTAATCGAGTGACTGTGATAACCCAATAAGACAAAAATAAAAGACATCCCTTAGACCAGGTGACTTTCCCTTCCTTCCTTAGGTGATGTCATTGGAGATGTCCCCCTCCTCCCTTAAACACAGAGACATCTCCTTCCTCCCTTAGACTTGGTGACATCATTGGAGACTTCCCCCTCCTCCCTTAGACCTGGTGACATTGTTGGAGACTTCCCCTTCCTCCCCCAGGCCCTGGCTGAGGGAGTACAGAACACTGCTTACCTTCAGTTACACTGCGGTGGATGTGTTCTTAAGAGTCATTTCACAGCTGGTGATGTTACTCATGTCCTAAAATAAGAGGGAAAAAAACTCCAATTCTGGCTGAAGCCATTGCCTCTATTCAACAGATGATCACCAAGTGAATTCCAATCTCTCCCTCTCACAGGGCCTTTTGGTTCATGGCTGTTGCTCAACCTCCTGAGCCATGCCTCTGGTTCAGCTTTTTGCTAGTTAATTAGAGATAGAGGGCTATGAACTTTTCACAGTACTCTTAATCTCAGTTTTTGACAGCTGGAGTTGTTAGAGGCGCCAGCAGGCTGGCCACGGATGCCACTTCCCCTCCCCCACTTCCTAGAATTTCACATAATAGGGTTACAGCTTTGAGAGCTGCCACATTCCACCCCAAATAAGACAACTATGACTATTAACTGAAAAAATGGTACAGGTACATGAAGTATGACCATTACCAAATCAAATAATTATGTTATCACTGTACATCAGAGAAATATAAATTATGAAGAAGTACAGTGAGTTTGGATATTCTGTTATTCTCTTCAAAAGATGCCAGGATTTAGGATCTTGATTGTTACACTCTCCTTCTTTTTAAAATTAGCATATATTAATTGCACGAGGTGAGTTACATTTTGACATAGAGGAGAAGGAGGAGAAGAAAGTGGTAGAAGAGGAGAGGAGGAAGAGGAGGAGGCAGAAGAGGAATAGGAGGAGGATGAGAAAAGGTGGAAAGAGGAAATTGTAAATGGAAAACAAAACTATCCTATTTAACAGAAGCTTTAGATATTTATTTCCCATATACTAACTGTATTCTAGAAAAACTGTCAGATGCCATATCAAAGATCAAAAAGAGGTCAACTGGAAAAGTAAAAGTTTTCTACCAGTAACAAAGCATGAAGGATTAAAAACTTTAATAGTTTATGAGTGATGGGAAGCCGCTAGCCCAGGTGAATCATGAAGTAGACCAAAATAAAAATAGTAATTTGTCTTGTAAAAGTTAATTTCTTAAGCCAGGCATTTAAGGATTACAGTGTGATACCTGTAATCCTAGCTACTCAGGAATCTAAGTAGCTAACCTGGCAAGAAAAATCTAAGACACTCTTACCTCCAATTAATTGCCAAAAAGCTGCATGTGGAGGTATGGATGGTAGAACAACAGCCTGGAGCCAAAACAAAACAAAAAAAAAAACTAAGGGATAACACCCAGGCCCTGAATATCAGCACATTAAAAAAAATTAATTTCTTTGTGATGGTGATGGTGAAATTCTTGGAACTTTTAAAAATGTCAACTTGCTGTGATTTTTTTCAGACATAAAATTTGCTTTTCTTTTAAAAAAATACAACATTAGCCTAGAATTCAGTAAAATGGAGTCCAAAAGGGGAATGTAATCAACATACTGACTGTGAGGAGGAATGCTATTCACTTCTTGTAAAGAACTCTAACCAATACAAAACTCTTTTCCTTCCATCAGATATCACAGTACCATTATTAAAAACTACTCTTCATATAAGATTTCTTTGCTTGTATTTCTCATTTTTTAATTATGGATGATGTATCTACCTTTATATTCCATGAAGATTCTTTATTTTTTAATTGAGGACGCTTAATGAAACTTGCCTGCAAGTTGGAGGGACCAAGCTGGGGTCCAGCAGGAACTAACCCTATCCATCATCTCCTTCGTCTGAACTTCCCCTGGCTGGGGGATTGATGCGCCTGATGATTTTGCTTGCCCCTCCGTTTGTATGCAGATGGCAGCCCTGAGGGTGGGGGTGGCATGGAGAGGCCTTTGCACCCCTCCATGCAGCACAGGCCTTGGGCCTCACTGCCCAGCACATCTTCTGCTTCTTCACCTCTCCAGGTCTTCACCAACACTGCACTTCAGCGGGTCACTGGGAAAGAACAGGGACCGGCCATGAGTAGCAGAAACTGACTGCAGAGCAGGAAAGGGACAGCTAGTCTTGGTATAATAGGCACTTACAGACCCCAATGAAAGAAGGAGCAGTGGAGCTGTGTGCAAGGCATGATTGTGTGGACAGGAAAACAATGTACAATAGAACTAAACAAACTTTCCAAACAATGAAGTACAAACAGCCAAAAGATGTGGGAACAAGTGTTCAGCACCCTTAGCCATTAAGACAGTGTAAGTCAGAAAAACACTGAGATTCCCATCCCTCTGCTCAGACAGGCTGTCACCAGGAAAACAGCTAACACCAAATGCTGGAGAGTGTGCAGGGAAACGAGTCTCCTTCACCACTGGCAGGGAAGCAAATCCATCCTGTCTCAATGGAATCAGTGTAGAGGCTCCTCCAAAAGTTACAAAAGGAATCCCCTATGACCCAGCCATCCCACATCTGGATGTACATACTCAAAGAATCACAGTCCGCTTGCCACAGAAATACCAACTATTCAGATTCTGCACTGAGCTACTTACAGTAACCACCTGGGGACTCCAGCTAGCCAGCCATCAGTGGATGGATAAAGAAAACGATGTTCTCCTCTGCATTGGAGAAGGAAATGGTTTTGTCTGCTGGAAAATAGATAGAACCAGAGCTCAGAGTATTAAGTGTCCACACATGGACATGCTAGAGATTTTCTTTCGCATATGGAAAAACAAAATAAAACAAGATCATGATAGTGAAACAGGAGGTTCTGAGAAGACAGATGAGGGAGAGAATGTGGTGGTGGGAGGTGGTGAAGAGTTTCATGTCTTACATGTATGGAAAAGTCCAGATACAACCCTCTGACGGTACACATGAGCGCACACACCCGTTTTTAGTATTGATATGCATGCATAATGATAGTCTCCTTTCTCATATGTATATATTTATATGTATTATGTACATATATGTATATACAATATATACTATATGCCTCTATTTAGAAATTGGACAAGAGAAAAGCCAATATACACTTCAAGAAAATCATTTCATATTGCTTGATTTTCTTGGCATGTGATGTTCAAAATAGATTGTTCTGAAATGATCTGGGATTTGAAACATATACTGGTAAACAATTTAATTGAGACACTGCATATGTACCCAAAAGTGAATACATCATCATTTTACAGCTCAATAAAATTCACAGGTGGAACACAACTGAACTCTTCTACTTCCTTTCAGACTGTTTAAAACGTAAAAGGGAGCTGTTTCTGTGTTTGCAAAGACAGAACACAGATGGTGCGTGACTCTGTGGGCCTGGCGGAGGTCTACAAGCGTCGCAGTGGGATGGACAGCCCGAAAGAGCCACACGGCACTGCAAAGCCCAGGGCTCGGACCAGCCCCTTCTCAACTCCCTGTGCGGGTGGGCGGTGTCTGTGCACAAGACCGCAGGGAGGGTGTGGCAAAGGCAGAACCTGTGCTCCGTGAGGAAACCGGAAACTGAGGCTCTGAGTCGTTCCAAGCCAAGCTTTCCTACCCTGGTATAAGGACCCGCAACCTCTCTCCTGCCCAAACCATGTCAAGACGCGCGGACACCGGGCCTTCCGTGCTGAGGCAGAGAAGGAAGGGTTTGCAGAGAACTCTACCTGGCGGCCCCCACGCTGGCCGGGCCTGTCGAGGCTGCACCCCAAGAACCCGGCATCTCCGCTCTCCAGCACCTAGCGAGGGGCTGGCAAGCACCCATGCAGTCCTCTGCAGGGCTGGGGAAGCGGCAGAGACCGCCCGGACCGCAGGTCAACGAGGCTCCACCGCACTGCACTGGTCCCGGGCGGAGGCCCTGCCGCTGCGGCCTCTGAGGGCCTCCATTCAGCCACGCAGCCGCCCCGCGGCCTGCCCGACCCCATCTCAGGGGCAGGACGCGAAGCGTGGGCGCAGGGAGTAACGGTGTGCGTCCTGACTTTTCCACACAAAATAACTAACATTATCCAAGAATGGTACAGACAACTTGGAAACAGACAGCAAGACGGCCTAACAAGCCCGAGGCCTCCAGTTCCAGACCCCGTGTCTCCAAAACGTGACACAATGGGGGGCCGCTAACGCGTGGGGATGTGGACTGCTCCTCGTGAGGGCTTTTTCCATCAATGTCCTCTCTAGCGTCCCCACCCCCCGCCCTGCCCTACCTAGACACTAGACATACACACAGGTCCTTTTGTTCAAGCTGACCTGGTGACATCTCTTCTGAGTTTTCTTTTACCAGAGTTATTTGTTATTGGAATGAGGAGTACAGACATGCAAGAGAGGAAGAGAATTTCAATTCATGGAAAATTTTCAAGGTTAGCATAAAAAATGTATGACTCCTCCATACTGCTTTCCAGAGTGGTTGAACTAGTTTACACTCCCACCCACAGAGTAGTAGAGGTCCCTTTTGGCACATCCCCACCAGCATCTGTTTTTGTCAATTTCCCTGATAATGGCCATTCTAACTGGGGAGAGGTAGAATCTCAATGTTGTTTTGATTTGCAGTTCTTTTATGGCCAGAGATGTTGAACACTTTTTCATGTGTCTATTGGCCATCCTTAATTATTCTTCTGAGAAGTCTCTCTGTAAATCTTTAGCCCATTCATTGATTGGGTGGTTGAGTTTTTGAGGGTTTATTTTGGGGAGGTTGAATTTTTTGAGCTCTAAGTGTATTTATAGCTAGTGAAGATTTTCTCTGCATTTCTATAGAATTTTGTTGTTCTTGTCACTTGTTTTCTTAGTGTGTTTATTACAATAGAAACATGGTTTGGCCTTTCTAGTTTCAGAGTCTCTCAGAATTGCTGAAATTATCCTTTGTGTCTTAGAAATTATGTGTAGATTCATCTAAATTTACTACTACAAGGCAATCAAGTAGGAGTACTTTTAAGATACTGCATAAAATATTTAGCAGACATTATATTTTTACTCTTATTGTTGTCTTGGGTTTACATAGTGAACATTAGAGCTCTATTTGTATTTCTTCACCATCATTCATCAGGTTGAGATGTATCTTTGTATTTTTTGCTTTGAAAATATTTCTATAATAATGATTCAATGCTATAAAATGTTCATTCTCTCATTTTAAGACAAACATTACTTTTTTCAGTTTCACACTATTTCTCTATTCAGAGTCAAATGTTATTGTTCATGGAGGTGTTGATATTTTACACGTCTCACTATGAATTTTATAGCTTTTCTTCAAGTTTCTATGTTGAGTGCAGAAATGAGTTTGAGTATTTTCAAAGCATTCATCAGTCTTTATGTACTATCAATGATACACCTTAATCTTCACCTTTGTCATTCAAACAGGAACCCTGCCATGCATTCCTGTGGATACACGCCATCAAACAATGGACTATGAGCTCTCTGGTTCACCCACAGCAACTTGAGCATTCAGAGGTCTTTCCTTATGTTGGTATATAAAAAGTCTCCCTTTTCCTTTACAGACTAGATGCATTTTTTTCATTCTTTTGCTTTTTATTCTAACACTTTTGTAAGTTTGTATGTAGGTCTAAAGAATAATACCAGGATATCTCATTTATCATTAGGGACCAAGTTACTCAAAGTAGTATCATTCTACACAATAGTGTAGCAAATGGAACACTGACAATGGCCATCAGCTGAACAGATTTGTCATTAACCAGTTGGGCAGGTTGTGATTTGTGCAAACAGTGTGCCCTGTGCTCAGCCATACTTCCTGTGTTTATTTACATGTGTTTGTACCAATTTCTGGGCAGCCTGTATCTGATGTAACAGGGACACTTTGAGTTTAACAGGTACACAGTAAAATTTTCCCCTTATATTTTATATTTTAGTTTTAATTTTCCTGCTCATAACCCTGCCCCTAGTAATGTCCTGCTGAACAGCAGACTCCATAGATGACAGCAATGGAACTGGGAATGCCACATCACCCAGTGACAGTGTGAACCTGGCAAGGTCAGCGTGATGCACAATGCACATGCGTGAGCACTCTGTTGTGAAAACTTACTGCACCACTGTCAAAAACCACAGAGCACACAATTATGCACATTGTGTCATACTCAACTATGTAATAACTAGCAATGCTACTGCTTGAAATGGTTTCGATATTATCTGTTTTAATATTATTTTAGAGTGTAATCCTCTTCTTATTTAAAGTTGCCATAAACCAGTTGCTATCTGCAATAGCCCTGTCCACCTGTTCACTGAGCTTACATTTTTCTTGCATTTGATTTTTACCTCTCTTTTTATTTTTTCTCATTGTGAGTCTTAAATGCACAAAAGTGCACCACCAACATTGCCAGCAAGATGACAGAGCTGAGGGGTGAAGGAGCTTCTGCCATCCAGCTCAGAGGCTGGACACAGCAATGTGCACGCAATGAAATCACCTATCTCATTTATCAAGATATATTCTTTTGTTGTGAAGGGATAGTTGAGCTGCTTCAAAACAAAAATGAAGTAAAATCATATAGCTGTATCAGGTTTTGAAGTCCATTTTCCTTAGAATTGTTTTTCATGATCTCTAGACCACTCAGATTTATTACAATTTGCCTGAAGTTACAATTTTTTCCTTTTTCTCCCTTATGACTCCAATTAATAGTTCCCCTTTCTGTCCTTTTTCTGTTATTTGAGCATTCTTTTTCAATTCCACTTTGATTTATTCCACCTCATTGATGTATTTAAGTACTAAATTCAGGCAGAGGTGATGCTCTGAGAAGGTAAATCATAAAAACAGCTTTTAAACTGTTAACTTGACCCATTAATGATAGCTCCCAGGAGTGCTTGCTTTGGGGGAAATCTGTTATTGGTAGAAATAAAAATGGACACAATCTTTTAAGATAAAGAAATGTTTTTCATGTAACCAGAAAAGTCAAGACTCAGCCAAGATGAAAGCACAGATTCACACATACAGTAAGTGTCCATGTTCATAGTGACATTACTTTTAACAAGCAGCAAATGAAGACAAATACACTTCACTCAAGATTGGACAAGCACTTTGAATGTGGACATGCTCACTGGGAAAAGCTTCAATATTTGATACAGGCAGCACATAGACAAATCTCTAAAACACTTTAATTAAAAGTGTCCAGGGATAACAGAGAAGATAACAGAGAACCAACTGAGCTCTCTCAGAAGAAGCACTCCAGACATAGTGGAGCTCAGCTTGCAGCCAGCCAAGCACCTTGGAATTTCAAAACAGATGTCTCTAAAATTAACTGAAAATTCAGGCTGGGCTAGGAGGACAGTCTCAGAAGCTAGCCTCTTGGGGAAGGCCACTGATTCCAAATACAACACAGTACTGCCCACAGCCAAGCTGGCTTCAGAGATGCTAGCCGCAGGTAACAGCCAAGTCTTACTTATTCTAGCATGCAATGCAACTCCCTCCTCCAACTGCAGCCTGAGACTCCATGATTGTAGGCCAAGACTTTAATCTGGCCATTCAACCAAACCAACTAAAGAATTCATCTGAGTGGGAGAATCTAGATAACAGTCACATCCCCATATTAATAAGTTTCTGAATCTACCATACCTCAAACCCATACACATTAAACAATGAGTATCCCAACCTACAAACACTACAGATTTGTGAAATAAGGAACTCCAATCTCCCCTTACACATAGCCTTCCCCGGCCCCCCGACCCCCGCCTCCCAGACTTTGGCCACAGCCAAAGACAGCTGACCACAGCAAGAGAATCAGAGATTCCGCTGACAAACTTCATAGCAAACATCCAGAGATACAGGGTACCTCCAATTTTTTCATTGGTCATAGGGCTTGAACTCTGAGCCTAGGCATTGTCCCTGAGCTCTTCAGCTCAAGGCAAGTGCTCTACTACTCGAGCCACAGTGCCACATCCAGTTTTCTGACTGTTAATTAGAGATAAGTCTCACAGACTTTACTGCCCAGGCTGGTTTGAACTGTGATCCTCAGATCTCAGCCTCTTGAGTAGCTAGGATTATAGGCGGGGGCCACCAGTGCCTGGCCCCCCAATTTTTTTTGTTCCATTTAGTTTTAGATATACAGTCTATGGTGATTACTGGCCTCTTTCTTAGTTGTGTGCATACTAAATTTTGGCTACATTTCTGATTGCTCAATTTTCTATTTCTTTAGTTTCTATGTTATTCTATTATATATATATATATATATATATATATATATATAATGGTTTTTTTATTTTAGGTCTTAGTTTTCTTCCTTCTGTTCCTTTCCTTTCCTTTATTCTTCTATTTTTTTTTTTTGGTCCCGTCGTGGGGCCTGAACTCTGGGCCTGGACGCTGTCCCTCAGCTCTTCAGCTCAAGGCTAGCGCTCTACCATTAGAGCCACAGCACCACTTCCCGCTTTTTTCTTTTTGCTTATGTGGTGCTGAGGAATCGAACCCAGGGCCTCATGCATGCAAGGCAAGCGCTCTACCACTGAGCCACCTTCCCAGCCCCATATTCTTCTATTCTTATTGGCTCCTCCCTTTTAGTTTTCATTTTTGTTTGTTGGTCAATGTCCTGAACTCTGGGCCTGAGCGTTGTCCCTCAGCTCTTCAGCTCAAGGCTAGCGCCCTATCACTTGAGCCACAGCACCACTTACGGCTTTTTTTCTGCTTATGTGGTGCTGAGGAATTGAACACAGGGCCTCATGCATGTGAGGCGAGCACTCTACCACTGAGCCAACTTCCCAGCCCTTATCTCTTTCTTTTAATTTCACTTTAATGTGTTTTCCTTCTTTTCTTATTCCTTTTCTTTAGTTCAGTTATCTATAATTATTTATCTATGAGGTTATATTTGTTTCCATTTTGACTCTAGTTGGCTCATCCTATTATCTTTTGGGTTAGTATTGTTTTATCCCTAACAACAGATTGTACACTGGCTACAACTATATATAATCTCCTTTCCTGGACCATAATACCCCTTTCCAAACAAAAGGGAGGGAGTATTTAGATAGGGGAATACTTATCTATGCATTTAAATCCTAATTTAAAAACAGTAATTATACGGCTCTGGGTTGGTTTTTTATTTTAAATTGTCTTCTGTTATTATTTGGATTTGCTTTTGTTTCCAAATGGAAGAACATACCACAGAAACAGAATTAAAATGCAAACCAAGGAACTTTAACTCCCACATAAAATAACCAGGCAATAGAGCAATCAATGGCATTTCTAGAAGACAGTTCTCAAAATGCTTTAAAAACACCGCTGGTAAATGTTGTATGAAAGGACAGAAAAACTGTACAAAGCTATGTGTGAGCATGATGAGACTAAGCAAAGATTATTATTAGAGGAATTAATGGAATCCACAACAGAAATCTAAATGAACTCCAACAGAAGGAAAGGGAGTCCCATGAATAAAGTCACTCAGCTAAAGGATAAAAGAGAAGGACATTGAAAAATCAAGGAGGTAAAGAAGTCTATACAAAAAGTATATACAAGACCTAAAACAGCTTCAATGAAGAGATTGAAGCCATAAGAAATGATCAACTAGAAGGCAGGGAAATAAAATATCAAGTAGAAAGTTTTGACGACACAGAGACAGAGTCTCTGGAATAGAAGATAGACTAAATAGTATAGAGAAAGAAGAGACAATTATTCATAACATGCTCAAGAAACCAGAAGCATTCTTACAGGAGTTTCAGGACTGAATGGAAAGACCTAAGTGAACCCTAATAGGTAGTAAGGTAGGTCAAGAGAAGGAAGCTAAAGGTTTAGGAAACATTTTAACAGAATTCTAGCAGGGAACTTCCTGAATGTCCAAAAGGATAGGTTCATTAGGACACAGGATCCTTTAGAACCCCAAACAGACCAGACCAAAAAAGAACATCCCACTGACACAGTTAGCCTCACAGGATCAATAGAGACCAAGTAAAGCATCCTTAAAGCCATGGGGGATAAAAGTTAATTATCTATAAAAGAAACCAATCAGAATAACTACAGAATTCTCAGCCAAGAACATGAAAGCAAGGAAAGCCTAGAATGAGGCATGCCACTCCTTAAAAGCAAACAACTACTAAGCAAAAATACTATACCCTACAAAGCACATCTTCATAACCAAGGGACACATAGAAACTTTCCACAACAAATTTGAAACAACTTATCTCCACCAAACCAGCATTACAGAAGACGCTTTAAAATGTACTACATATAGAAAACCAACAAGATCATAGTACTGGCAGAGAAAGGGCCCCTTACCAGAGAACCAGATAAATACAGGGTCACAGCCCCTAAGAAGGTGGGTAAAATGGTAGAGACTACCAAACACTTCCTTACTTGCAATAATTAATGGACTTCACTCTCCATTTAAATGAAATAGATTGATCAAAAAGCAAGATCTGGGTTGGGAAGGTGGCTCAGTGGTAGAGTGCTTGCCTTGCATGCATGAGGCTGTGGGTTTGATTCCTCAGCACCACAGAAGCAGAAAAAGCTAGAAGTGGCACTGTGGCTCAAGTGGTGGAGTGCTTGCCTTGAGCTGAAGAGCTGAGGGACAGTGACCAGGCCCCAAGTTCAGGCCCCATGACCAAAAACAACAACAACAACAAAAAGCCAAGATCTATTCATTTGTTGTCAAGAGACACATCTTGCCCACAAAAACATATTCTGAAACTGAAAGACTTCAATAAAATCTGTCAGACAAATGGCCCCATAAACGGGCCAGAGTTGCTAATATCAGATAAATCAGACAACAAATTGAAATTAGTAGGAAGACACAAGGAAGGACAATACATACTAATAAGAGGATCTCTGCTATAGGAAGATCTCTAGTTGGACTTGTTTTTTGTTAATCGTGGGGTTTGAACTCTGGCCTTGGGAGGGGTCCCTTAGCTCTTCAGCTCGAGCCACAGTGCCACTTCTGCTATAGGAAGATACTACAAATCTAAATATCGATACACCAGATGCCAGAGTACCCAACTTCATCAAACAAATACTACTTAATCTAAAAACACATTGATTGTTGGTGACTTTAACACAGCACTATTGCCTCTGCATAGACCAACCAGGCAAAAACTCAACAGAGAAACCTCAGAAGTAAATAAGTGCATTAACCAAATAGACATCTACAGAATATTTCACCCAGCAGCATCAGAATATACATTCTTCTCATCAGCACATAGAACATTCTTCCAAAATAGATCCTATTTTTGGCCATAAAGCAAATCTGTGCAAATTCAAAATTGAAATTATGTTTTGCATTCTGTCAGACCATGACTGAATAAAATTACAGCTCAACACAAAAAGCCATCATAGAAAATCCTCTTACTCATGGAGACTGAACAACACATTGTTGAATGACTAATGGGTCATTGAAGAGATAAGGATGGAAATTCAAACATTTATGGAATTTAACAACAACAAACACCAAATACTAGCTTCTCTGGGACACAAGAAAGGCAATAGTCATAGCAACATGTAGGCTCTGAATGCCTACATCAACAAATTGAAGAAATCTCGACAATTTAATGTTACACTTTAAGCAACTTGAAAAAGAGCAACAAGTCAAACCTCAAGCCCTTGACAGAAACAAATAATCAAAATTAAATAAAAATAAATGAATTAGAACCCAAAAAAGAAGTACAGAAAGAATCAACAAAGAGTTGATTCTTTGGAAAAATTAACAAAATTGACAGACCCTTAGTAAAGCTGAACCCCCCAAAAGAGAGCACACTCAAATATCTTTCATAATTACATAATTGCAGTATGTAGATTTGCTCATGTGATGAATCACATGACTCTCACACTGCATATAAAATAATGAAGATCGACTTGGTCTATATTCTTGGGGGGAGGGAAAGGCTTTTTAAGTCCTTGGTATGGAGGAGCATCCTAGCGTCCAGCAGCACCTTGAAATCTTGCAGCTTCCAAGCCAAGCATCTCCATCCTTGCTCCTGCCATCATCAACCAGCTCCATCCGTGACTCCCTCCCCACTCTCCTAACCCATCCATCCTCAATCACACACCCCTTCACCCCTTACCCATCTCTTACCCTCCACCCTCCACCGACCCCTCCCCTGCTCCCCACCTGCAGGCCAGTTAGATGTGGTTGGTTCACCCAGCAGAGAGCGAGGAGCGGATGAGTGCAGCCCCGGGATGGCTGTGCAGGGGCCGACAGACGAAGCTGCACCACAGAGTCAGTGCCAGTCACTTTCGTGGCTGTAGCGCCGCGGCTGTGGCCCGGGCTCCACGCGCGGGCGGCGGGAGGGGGCGGGGCGGCGGCGACCGGAAGTTCCCCCCACCCCCACGCCCAGCAGACGTCCTCCGGCCATCTTGTCCACCTCCAAGGAGGGCGACCCCATAGACGAAGCTGACTTCGGAGCGCGAGCTCGCCCGGAAGCCGGGGGTCTGAGGGAGGGGCCGGGCGAGGGCCACTCGGATGAAGGGCACCTTCGCTCAAAGGACAGAGGCGGGCGGCAGAGCTCGGGGCCGGCACCGGGGCGCACCCCTTGGGCGCTCTTCCAACCCGTGGAGGAGCAAGATGGGGTTTCCCTGTGTGCCCTCGTGAAGCCTGCCCGCAGAAGCCAGCAAGCCGAGGCGACCCGCACGAGGCAACACACGGCCCCGAGGAGCCGGAGAAGAAGGAGCAAACCAGACATTGCCACTACTGCGCCCTCGTCTCGCCGCAGCTAACCTTCCCGCCCTAGGTCGTGAGGCCAGTACGCAAGCGCTGCCGCCCCCCCCCCCCCCCCCCCCCCCGCCAAATCCCGTAGCCAAATCTCGCGAGACATGCCCCCTTCCTATGGAGGTTTCCATTGATGCACTAGGGGGAAACGCAGAGGGCAGGGAAGACAGAAAAGGGAGTGTAGGAAGTTCCCTGAGGTTCGTGAACGTGGTTACTCCTTGAAAGGGGGGTGTCTGTCGGCAGCAGTCTCGCACGATTCTTCCCCCTCTGGATTTCCAGGCGATGTTGACAGTGACACAGTGTCCTTTGGAAGGGACGTAGGTTTGGGATGGATTTAACCCTTTTTTGTTTGGTGTCGGTCGTGGGGCTTGAACTCGGGGCCTGGGCGCTGTCTCTGAACTCTTTTGCTCAAAGCCAGCGCTCCAACGCTTGAGCCACAGCTTCACTTCCGGTTTGGGGGGTTTATTGGAGATAAAAGTCTCTTGGATTTTCCTGCTCAGGCTGCCTTCCAACCATGGTCCTCAGATCTCAGCCTCTTGAGTAGCTAGGATTACAGGCATGAGCCACCAGCACCTGGCTTGCTTGCTTTGATTTGTTTTGTGGTTTTTTGTGTTTTTTTTTTTTTAATAAAAACCTTGCCTTTCCTGCAATAGAACAGACAACAGGGAACACATCTTGTTTTGCTGTTACTACCTGCACCTAACACCTGCAGCTATTCGAGATTTTTGCTCAAATAAATGAATGAATAAATGAAAGAACACATTTTCAATTGTTCCAGCCTAGTTAAATACACTTTCTTGGAGCCTACATTATAAGCTTAGTGTTTTTATAATGAGATTGATTTCAGCCTGCCAAGGCTGAATTGATTTCAGTCCCCTTTCAAAATCCAGGAGGTGGCCGAGAGCCGGTGGCTCATGCCTGTAATCCTAGCTACTCAGGAGGCTGAGATCTGAGGATCACAGTTCAAAGCCAGCCCAGGCAGGAAAACCCATGAGACTCTTATCTCCAATAAACCACTAGAAAACCAGAAGTGGTTTGTGGTTCAAGTGGTAGAATGCTCACCTTGAGCTGAAGAGCTGAGGGACAGTGCCCAGGCTCAGAGTTCAAGCCCTATGACCGACCAAAAAGAAAAAAATTAGGAGTTGAAATTTCATACCCTTGTGATGGCATTAAATGGTAGAGCTTTTTTCTTCTTCTTTTTTTGATACCGGTTGAGGCTTGAACTCAAGGAATGGCCAGTCCCTGAGCATTTTTGCTCACGGCTCGTGTTCTCCCCCTTAAGCCATAGTTCCACTTCCAGCTTTTTTGGTGCTTAGTTGAAGATGAGTCTCATGGACTTTGCTGCCCAGGCTGACTTTGAACTGTGATCCTCAGATCTCAGCCTTCTGAGTAGTAGGATAATAGGCCTGCACCACAAGCCCAAGACAAGAGGTAATTATGAGATAGGGTCATTGGGGTCAAAAGACACAGAGAACAGACAAACAGATGGCTCAGCATCAGCACTGGTTTATCTGAGAGAAAACCTGAGGAGCACCACCAGCCACGGCTTAGAGACCCATCATCGCATGCAGGCTACCAGTGGGTCGGAGGGAATGCTGCCATTGTCTATGGGGGACTGCTATAAAAGCAGCTAATGGGAGGGGGGGACAAATAATAATGTGTGAAATGAGTCACAGGCAGAGGCAGGGAGGGAACCAGGCTGGGGTGTCTCTTCAAGTCCCAAATCTGTTAAAGCCTCAGCAAATTCTGCTCCAACACCAGCCACATGAGTTACTGCAGGTCAGAGAGGAGAGGGGCTGGAGTGGTCATAAATCAAGGGTCTGGCCTGGGGTCACAAGACAAGGACACCTAGCTATTCAGAACTAACATTTCTTCCTTCTTAAAACTATTAATTTTTTCTTTTCTCTTTTTGGTACTGGGGATCGAATTCAGGACTTTGCACTTGCTAGGCAAGCATTTTTCCACTGAGCTACATTCCAGCCCCTTCCTGTATTTTTAAAAATACTATTGTTTATTGAGAGTAGTAGATTAGAAGCTAGGGTAGAAAAGGCTGTTCTAAGACTTCCTGCAGAGAGGTGTCTTCTTCAGTGAGGAATTGAGATTAAAGGAAGAAATCCCTTAGGTCCCTGTCTGGGAGCTGAGCAATCTGCTGGAACTGAAGCCAGTGTGAGGGAAAACATTGTCTACTGGTTTTTGAGTAACTGCCTGTAAACAAATATATATACATATATATGTGTGTGTGTATATATATATATACATATATATATATATATACATTTATATTATGTAAAATAAAAAAATTCAAACTATTGGGACAGGGAGGGGGTTTTATTATGAGGTTAATAATGCATGAGCCAAACAAGTATTTTTTTCTTTTTGTTTTCTTTCCTTTTTGTTTTTTCTCTCTTGGGGGGTGGGATGGGGGAGAGGGGCACCGAAATGGAGGGACAAAGATTCAACAAATGCCACTGTGGTACTCACTAGACACTATGTTGAAAAGGAACTATACAGCTTATGGGTGAAGATGGGAGGGAAAACTGGGAGAGCAAGGGAAGAGCTGACGTTGTTCAAAAAGAAATACATTCTTTTTCTGACTTACATAATTAACTCCTTTGTACATCACCTTTATAAGAACAGTATTTTTCAATGTTCTCATTACCTGACTTATATACACTAAATACTCTGTACATCACCTTCATAATAAAAATAAAAAGTAAAAAATAATGTGTGGGCCAAACATCATTATTAATAGTGTAAGTAGGGGCCAGCAGTCCCAGGAATTGAGGCTTTCTCTCTGAGCCTCTTTGCTGCCTTTAGAACTATCCTCAATAAAAGAAAAAAAAGTCCATGGTACTCATCTCCAATTCACACCAAGAATCCAGCCGTGGAGAAGTGGCTCAAGCCGTAAAGGGAAAAGCTAACTGGGATCAGTGAAGTTTCAGTATTGGAACAAAAGACAAAAAAAAAAAAAAACAAGTAATACCATCAACAACAAAATGGTGCCCACAGCTCAGCCTATAATCCTCCCTACTCAGAAGTTTAAGATGGAGAATTGCAGTTCAAAGCCAGACAAAACAAAGAAATCCAAAAGAACCATTTCCAATTAACCAGCATAAACACAGGCTGAAGGTGTGGCTCAAGTGGTAGAGTGCCAGTTGTGTGAACCAGCTGAACAAGAGTGAGGTCCAGAGTTCAAATTTCAGTACTGCCCAAAATACTAAAAGTTAAAAATAACAAAACGTAATCAGGGGCTGGATGGAATTTCATTTGTTTCCAAGGTCACTCTGCCTGGTGCTAATTTACATCATTAATGTTTCAAATTTTCAATTGCATCTGTTCACTGCTTACTTAGAGCAACACAACTTTGTACACTGTGATCCTTTAATAGCTTTAGTTCTAAAAACTATTTGTGACAAAAACCAAGATTTTCAAAATAAACAAGGTCATCATCATTTATTCAATTTACTTCCTACCTTCAGTTCTAACATTGGCTATTTGTATGAGTCTTCTCTTTCTTCATCCTTCTCCTCTCCTCCACTTCCCCCTACTCCTCCTTCTTTCTGGCATACTAGAGATTTGCCATTTTCTTTATCTTTTGAACAAAACAGTGCTTGGATACAGAGATTTCCATAGAGATGTCTCATTTAAAATATTATTTAACAGGCTCAACAATCTTCTATAACTGAATGGATATCACTAGAATTTAGCACAAAATATTTCATGTGGCTATTGAGACTCATTCTTGACAAGCAGTCCATTTAGAATTTTAACATCCAATAATAAGGAATTTTCTTTTTATATGTATTTTTATTATAAAAATACTAGGCTGGGAAAGTGGGTCAGTGATAAGAGTGTTTGCCTTGCATGCATGAGGCCCTGGATTGATTCCTCAGCACCACATAAGCGAACAAAGCCTGAAGTGCTGCTGTGGCTCAAGTGGTAGAGCACTAACCTTGAGCTGAAGAGCTGAGGGGTAGTGCCCAGGCCCAGATTTTAGGCCCCACAACCGGTTAAAAAAAAAAAAAGGAAAGAGGGGTTAGAGTTACATGAGTAAGGTAATAAGTACATTTCCTATTGAGCATTGTTACCTCCTCCTTTGTTTTCCCCTACTATCCCTTCCGGCCCTGCCCCACACACAACCTCACTGAAGTTGTAAAGTTTGTTATCAACATAGTGTCTTGAACATCTCATTGTTACAATGGGTCAACCTGTATCCTTATTTCAGCATTTTATTATTTCTCTTTCCCTCCCCAAATTAAAAACAAATGTATAGGGGCTGGGAAGGTATCTCAGTGGTAGAGCGCTTGCCTTGCATGCCTGAGGCCCTGGGTTCGATTCCTCAGCACCACATAAGCAAAAAGAAAAAAGC